CTATCTTGGCTTGCAGATCACCCAGGACAGAGCACGGCGCACCATCACCCTGACTCGGTCACACATGGTGCACCAGGTCCTTCAGTGCGTCGGCTTCCATTTCTCCTCACCATAGCCCACTCCTCTGTCTCTCGGCCACTCGCTCTCAGCTCCACCTTCGGACGAGTCCGTAGAGCTGAGTGGTCCGTACCCAGAGCTTCTGGGTTGCCTCATGTACCTGATGACCTGCACACGACCTGACCTCGCGTACCCTCTCAGCCTCTTGGCTTGGTACGTGGCTCCTGGTAGGCACCGAAAGGTGCACTGGGATGCTGCGAAGAGGGTACTGCGTTACTTGTGCAGTACGTTGGGCATGGGGCTCGTGCTTGGAGGACGGGGTCCAGTTGTCCTCACTGGTCACGCAGACGCTTCTTGGGTTGACGACTTGGCTACGCAGCGGTCGTCACAGGATTACACCTTCAGCCTCGGTTCCGGCTCTGTTTCCTGGCGGTCTACCCGCTCGTCTTCGGTTCTCAGTTCCAGTTGTGAGGCTGAGATCTACGCCGGGGCCATGGCTGCACAGGAGTTACGCTGGCTCTCCTTCCTGCTGACTGACTTGGGAGAGCAGCCTCGTTCGCCTCTAGTTCTGTATGTAGACAACAAGGCCATGATTGCCTTGTGTCAAGAGCACAGACTGGGGCACAAGACGAAGCACATCGCTCTGCGATACTTCCTTGCTCAAGAGTTGCAGCAGCGTGGTCAGCTTCGTCTTGCGTACGTGGCCACTAGGGCCAACACTGCTGATATATTCACCAAGGCACTTCAGTCTGGTGATCATCAGCGCTTCTCTACTGTTTTAGGCCTTGTGCCTACTTTGCCTCACTTGCTCACTGCGTGAGTTTGCTTGTACTGTGATCTATATATATGTCTGCATGCTTACACTTGCTAGGGTATGATAACTGGACTGTTTGTTCTCTTTTATATAACTATGCATGTGAACTGGCCTTGTGGTCATTTGCTTGTGCTTGGACTGTGTGGTGACTTTGTGATCCACCCTGAGCTTGCTTTGCTTTCTTGACTGGTCTTGTGACCACTTGTTCTCCCCCACTTTGCCTATGGGGGTGTGTCAGAATATTATATTGCTTAATTTGTGTAGGCTATAGTGGGGTAGCCCATAAGGGGTACAACCCAATTAGGGTTAGTACTTGAACCCAACTCTTTCATAGTTCATTCATTCTCGATCATTCTTTTGAGAGCCATGCTAGAAAGGCATAGTGCCAGCGTAGCGGAAACGTGATTGTATAAAGAACAAGTTAGAAAAATTGCATTTGGAAGGACTAATCATTGAATGATAAAATGATGTTGAACAAGTGATATAGCAGGGTATTTATGCATCCATCTACCCCTCCTTGAATGGCCCATTCACACCAATAATTCTGCCCTCTACCCTCCAATAATGCTGAACGCCAATAATTCTGGCACGACAATAATTGTGACAAGTATTGTAGGACCCGGAGGCTTATGAAGGGGACTACAATAAACCGAACAGCACAAGTATACAATATTCGTTATATTGTATTCGGTTTTCCAACAACTACCTTGAGCTTGAGTAGGATATGAAGGACATAATAATATATTATAGTGTCTGAAGTACTGTATAGCATATCAGTCATACAATGAATTGGATTGATCGCTTGACAGCCACAATCCCCATAGATTATATCTCCCCGATCATACAATCAGCGGCACTCTACCAACCACAAAAGGGATTGGCATATCAACAAACGTATGTGTGAAACTAATCTAAGACTTATAAACAACACGTCCTTGACCTATGGTACCAAATCCAGGTTCAGCATAAGTATGGTGTCAACATCATCATATCATTTCATTTTGTTGCCACGACATTTTGATGTATGCCGCACTATGTCTTTCTCCACATTGTCGAAATGGATTGCATCGAATATGTTACGACACAACGTGTCATTGATGAAGTGCAAAATGCAACAAAACATTTGCATACCTTATCAATGTGTAAGATGTGGCAAGTCGCAAAGGTTTTTCATAATATTTTTGAATTATGGGTGGGTGCAGCCTGTTAGAATCTGAGAGAATGGAATGGAGAAGAAGGGGTTTCACTAGCAGGCAGTTGAGTACATATAGGAAACCCTAGATTGGGCTGTACTCACTATTGAGTACCCCACTGCAGGCTAGACAAATATAACATTCTGACACACCCCCATAGTCAAAGTGGGGTATGATCAGCACAACAAGCAAAGCAAAGCAAAGCAAGCTCATGGTGGATCACGACGTCACCACACAATCTGAGCACAAGTACAAGGAGCAGCAGTTTATAGTTCACAAATATAAGCAAAGCTAGAGGCAGTCACAGACGGTAAGTGAGGAGGGGGAGGGACTGTGAGAGGAGAGGAGATAGGAGACGACGGGTGAAGTAGCAGATACATGGGCAACAGGAGCGGCGCGCACTGTGGCTACCGGAGATTGTAGCCTCCGGACTACTAGAGTAACTGGCTCAGCGGCTAACTCTGAGCGGCAGGAGCAACGGACCCACGGGCGACTGGCGCAGCAGGCTCGCTGGGCTACCGGAGATTGTAGCCTCCGGACTACTGGCGCTGCTGACGACACAACGGCTACCTCCCTTCAACCTCCCCCACTGTCGCACCCCCCTTTCACACACCCCCTGCTGCACCTCTAGCACTACTCACACTCCACCCCCTAGTACCACTCCGTCGGCTCCCACATACCCACCCCCCTCAGCGGCAGCTGCAGCAGTGGGAGACGGAGGAGGAGGAGGAGCAGGGGAGGCCGCACACACCCTTCATCCCCATACTCGCCACCCCCAAACCCCAACACAGGGCAGGGCCGCAGCAGGGGCGGCAGCAGGGCAGGGCCGCAACAAAGGCGGGGGCAGGGCCGCGACTGAGCAGGGCCGGGCAGGGCAGGGCAGGGCCGCGACGAAGACGGGAGGGGCCGACGCGCGGCCCCCCCCAGGGCGCCGGGACGGGCGACAGAAGGGGCGACGCGCGGCCTCCCCCAGGACAGGCGATAGGAAAAGGGGGGGGGGGGGGGGGGGTGCGCGGGCCCCCGGTGTGCCGCGACAGGCGGCGGGAAGGGGGGGGGGGTGCGCGGGCCCCCGGTGCGCCGCGACAGGCGACGAAACCGCCGCACGCCTCGGGGCGCACGACGGGCAGGGCACCGTCGCGCGCCACGGGGCGCACGACGGGCAGGCAGGGCGTCGTGCGCTCTGCAGGGCGGCGCGACGGGCAGAAAACCGCCGCGCGCCACTAGCGCGCGGCGGGAAGAAAAAAATGCCGCGCGCGACGAGCGCGTGGCAGGCAGGAAACAGCGCGCGCCCGAGGCGCGCGATAGGCAGGACAACAGCGGAAGATAACGGTGGGCCCATGCACAGGATCGACCCAGAAGGGTCGACCTGCTCTGATAGCATGTTAGAATCTGAGAGAATGGAATGGAGAAGAAGGGGTTTCACTAGCAGGCAGTTGAGTACATATAGGAAACCCTAGATTGGGCTGTACTCACTATTGAGTACCCCACTGCAGGCTAGACAAATATAACATTCTGACACAGCCATCCCGAATAGTTGGCGAGTATAATTCGTAAACACTCGGTGTAAGTCATTCAAATCTTGGTGAGTTATGATGACATCTGTATTACCTACTTCCCAAGTCCAAGCTGTATGCAAAACCGCTGATGATCATAATGCTGGGGCGCCTTGGTGAATATAGCAGCGGTGTTCCCCGTGAGGCCAAGTTTGCTACACGTGCATGACCGTCTTGCTGCAACTTATGTAGTAGGAAGTACAAAACCTGTATGTGCTTTGCTCTGCCCTCTAGTCCAAGCTCCTGGCACAGTAGGACCACGGCCATGTTAACAGCAAACAGGACCCGAGCAAAGCTAGGTGGCTCACATAGGTCATTGAGCAAGAACGTCAGCCAGCGGTGCTCTTGAGGAGCCATAGCACCAACATAGATCTCTACCTCGCAGCTGGACTGTGTCGCCAACAACGAGTAAGTCAACCTCCACAAAACAACTCCGTACCAAGAGTGAAGCAGTAGCCATTAGAGGACGGAAGAGTCGCAATGTTGCCTGCCCACGAAGCGACAGTTTGACCAGTGAGTGCAACCGGCTATCGTCATCCACGCACAAGCCCGATGCATTATGTACTTGGTAGAGAGCACAATACCCTCTTAGCGAATGGCCAGTGCTCGGGTCGGAGTCCCCCTGTCGCAACAAAGCGAGCCAAGATGCTGAGAGGATATGCAAGATGTGCATGTCATCTTGCACATGAGGCACTCCACCAGCTATGTGTACAGACCATTGAACTTAGCAGATTCAAGAGAGACAGGAGCCGAGAGCTTATGATCAACAATTAGAAGTGTGGTGGCTGGCGTTGCATATTAACTGCCGTCACCCCCTTTGCCTTCCCGCTACTTTCCGCCAACCCCACCACTCCCCGCCCATTGACCGCCACCCCTTCCACCTCCCATGGCAACGAAGAAAAAGAATGACAAAAGAGGGCATACAGAAGTAAGCACCAAATTTGTACCATCTATAAAATTGCAGAGAATAGGCAATTGTACTTGGTAGTAAGAACCCACCAGTTCTTCATGACATTGACGCCGCGCAGTCGAGGCACCAGCTCCCATGTTCTATTGGCGAGGAGGCTTCGAATCTCCTCATTCATTGCCGCTTTCACCACCTTCCCCTTTCAGGTTGCGAGCGCTTCCTTGATGCTCATCGTTCCGATATCCCACCGGCGTTCAGGGTTAGCGTGCTTATCGAGATCCAGTTCGGGCAGTGTAGTATCCAAATTCGCGTCATCGAGAAGCGTGTTAGTGAATATCGAGCACACATTGGCCCGTTTCTCTGGAGGCACACCAAAGTTGGAGCGGGTGGAATGCCGTGTCGACGGCTTGAATTCCACCACATCGCTCAAGAAGTTGTCTCCAGACGACTCCCCTGCATCATTGTTGGCTTTGCCGATGACCTCCACAACGTCGCTCGACGAGCTGACGTTGATCTGCTCCCTTGTCACCTACTCCCTTGCTGGTTTTTGCATACCAGGTGCGCCATCTTCAGTAGATGAGGTAAGTCGTCCGTCGACAATGCCGATGTGTGGTACCGTAGGTGGCGCGTCATGGCTCCTCTCATAATCTTTGGCCGTCTTGGATGGGGTGTGGGCGGCGGGACGTGAGAGGCTTTCCGCAGCTGGTAGCAGAGAAGTGACGACAGCAGGCGAGGAGGTTGACGGTTGGGTGACAGGTACCACACGCGGATACACTGATGGGAGGGTAGAGCTGGGGAGTGACGTGGGGACGTGCGGAGGTGCAGGAGCTGAAACCGCGGCGTCAAGCGGATCGTCGGTCTCATCGGCGAGTAAACCGGGTGACGGAGAGGATACCGCAGAAGTGAACACCTTGTGTGCACTTCCGGGTTCGCGCTCTGCTTTCCAGTCATCCAGCGACAGCGTTTCGTAAAATATCACCTATATGGTGGTAGCGATGCGGTTTGCAACGAGATCCAGCACCTCCCAACCTTTGCAAGTGGGAGAGACGCCAAGATGAAGACCCCAATTGGCTTTCGGCGCAAGCTTCCCAGCGGGCTGATACTGCGGGACCATGTATTGCACCATGCAACCCCACACTCGAGCCATGGTGAGGTCCGGCTTCGCATTGTACATCAGCGTATACAGTGTTGCTCCCGAAGGCAGGGAAGTGCGCTCAATGCTGTTGCGCACCCACACGGCTTGGCGAAGCGCGAGGTGCCACCAATGGTGTGGCACGTCCATATGCATAAGCATTGTCCGCACCGCTCCGACAAGTGTGCGCATTTCGCATTCAGCCATACCATTCTACTGCAGAGTATATGGACATGTCAGATTGTGGTCAATGCCGAGCTTATCGAGGAAGGCAGTGAAGTCGCCACCCAAGATCTCCCCTCCGCAGTTAGAACGAATCATCTTCATCGTCAGCTTGCTTTGTCGCTCCACCATCGTCAGCCATGTTTCAAATTTCTCCAAAGCGTCACTCTTCCGCGTGAGAGGATACGTCGATACGAAGCGCGTTTTGCGGTCTTTCAGGAGAAGAAAGTAGCGACTCTAGTATGTGGTTTCAGGCTAGAACCGTCAGGTGAAAATACCATCAGGTGTATTTTCCACCTGCCAAGGAGTAGTTGCGTAGGTTCTTGCAACACTAACAATTGCACATACTCGTTTGTGCAATATCATCACTTCCCTCCAATTTGGTCCAACGTCGAATCGTGCATACTAAGATGCACAAATTGGGGTGTACCGAAGCTCCGGTATGCGGTATGTGAAGTCTCGCTACTTCACATAGAACTACTACATGCGAAACCAGGCGCGTGCAGGGCTTCGCCTAAAAGATATATCCCAACATAGCTTGTAATTTGTACATACAAAAGCGTATGCATAATTTGATACGTTGGACGGCAGGAAAATTGTTGCCGAACCGGACACAATAATCCTGGTATTGAATATTACTCACATAGCCCCCTTAATTACGTTGTCTCCTCTCACCAGCTTTGTATTTGTAGCGATGATAAATCGTCTGTAGTTTTTTCCTAGTAACACTAATTATTGAGGTTTCTTTCGATAACAATGCTGATGGCGGATCAGTAAGCCCCAGAGTGAAACTAGGGGCATGCTACGAAGCTTGTAGTTTCTGATTGTAATATAAGAAACTTCCATTACGCACGGAGCTTCTGACGCCTTGCGTCAAAATCCCAACTTTTGAAGTAATAGCCCCGACCCGATTGCCTCAATCCCGAAGCTACTATATAATTGGCCCCTAGGAGCTTAGACGAATGGAGTTAGGAAAGGTAGGAGAGGAATATGCGAGAGAAAAAAGGGTTTGCACTATTGAGAGGGAAGGAGAAATACAGCTAGGGGACGGCAAGGCAAGGTGCACCACCAACAAGGAACTACACTAAAAAACTACAAAAGTTGTTTTTGTAGCCGTTATAATTATGTAAGTATATTCTTTGACACACCATGTTAATGAGGCGAGGCCTGCAGCACACAGCTACTAACGACTGGCAGCTCAAAGGCTGTTGCACAACAGCTGACAATCAGCAACTGCGAGAGGTGAGGATTTCCAACAGATGGACGGCACGGAGAATAGAAATTACACGGAGAGACCTAAAAGAGGAGGAGGAGGAGGAGGAGGAGGAGGAGGAGGAGGAGGAGGAGGAGGAGGAGGAGGAGGAGGAAGAGGAGGAGGAGGAGGAGGAGGAGGAGGAGGAGGAGGAGGAGGAGGATGAGGAGGAGGAGGAGGAGGAAGAGGAGTAGGAGGAGGAGGAGGAGGAGGAGGAGAGAGATAGAGAGAGAGGGAGAGAGAGAGAGAGGGAGAGAGAGAGAGAGAGAGAGAGAGAGAGAGAGAGAGAGTCCTTCTTTTCTTGCATGTTTGTACTTCCCTCCTATATCAGTACATGGACCACTAGAGAGAGAGAGAGAGAGAGAGAGAGAGAGAGAGAGAGAGAGAGAGAGAGAGAGAGAGAGAGAGAGAGAGTTCTAGGTGTGCAGTTTGCTATTTAGTGTGTGTTTGTTTGCTTAGAGGTTTGCTGGTTCTAGCCGTGTTACATGCATGTCTGTACCTTCCAGTTTTATCAATACAAGGTCCATTTGAGAGAGAGAGAGAGAGAGAGAGAGAGAGAGAGAGAGAGAGAGAGAGAGAGAGAGAGAGAGAGAGTGAGAGGAAATAGAGGCGCAACGAAATGGGAGAGGGCAAGTGAGGAGATAAAGAGAGAGAGAGGAGGAGGAGGCGGACGGCGGCTAGTGCTGCACACTCACTCCCGCCACCCCCTCAACTCCCCCCCCCCACAGTGGCAGGCATGGCAGGGTGGTAGTTCAGGTGGCGACTGGCATTGCATATTCACTGCCGTCACCCCCTTTGCCTTCCCCCTACTGTCCGCCACCCCCACCACTTCCCCCCCATTGACCGCCACCCCTTCCACCTCCCCCCAATAGCATGAGCATAGAGGGAGGCGCGGGTGGGGTGAGGAAGAGGGGGGGGGGGGCTGGGGTGGTTAAGACGAGCCTGTGACAAGGGCCTCGACGGGGGCCATGAAGGTATTAAACATCGAAATTAGGAGATTAGGAGCTTAGAGGGGAGAGTAGCGTGATTGGCGAGAAGGTTGGGAAGGAGAGATGGCCAAAGAGGTTCAATAATGGAAGAGACGTACATGATATAGGAAATTGTAGGGGTGCACTACCAACAGAGGTTTATAACTACGCTAAAACTACGGCTACAGGCAGCTAGACAAATACATATAAGATATATTTTATAGCAGAGGGGGTCTGCGTTGGGTGGGACGAGGGCCGCGACGAGCGCGTGGCGAGGGGCACGACTGGTCAAGTGACGGGTGCAAGACGGGGGGCGCGACGGGCGCAGCGATGGCGCGGGCGACGAGTGCAGTTATGGTTGCACAACGAGGGGCGCGATGGGCATGCCATTAGCAGCAAAATCCGCGCCAGTAACAGAATCCGCGCCAACAGCTGTAGATTTCGCGCCATTATGAACTAAACCTGCCCTAAGAGCGTGTTCCTACACTTTGTATCAGACACACCTCGTATCAGCTTCGCGTGGTGAAATACGTTTCAGTGTGTTCGATTGTGGTTCGATGTGTTTTACTGCAGTTCGAGGTTGCCTGATATGAGGCCATAAGAACAAGCTCTTAGGAGCTATGAGAATGGAGCTAAGAAGGGTAGGAGAGGAATTGGGAAGAGAAAAAGAGGGTTTGCACTATTAAGAGGGAAGGAGAAGTACAGGCAGGGAAAGGCAAGGCAAGGTAAAGCAACAAATAAGCAAGCGAAATAAACATAGTAGCTTATACTGTAAGCAGTTACATCGCGTCGCATTTCGAAGTACGAGGTTCAATCTATGAAAATGCATTATATGCTTGTAGGCTGTAGTGGGGTAGCCCATATAGGGTACAACCGTTTTAGGGTTGCATAGTTGTATCTCACTGCTACTAGTCACACCTCATTCCGCTGTTCTCATTCTGACATGGTATCATGCGCTAGGTTAGGTCCGACTGCCGAACCTACTACCGAACCTATGACTAGGTTTGGTTTGCCCCGCTGCCCCGCGCCTCGAGCGCCATTGCCCCACTGCCCTGCTGCCCGCGCGCCCCATGTGCCCTGCTGCCATGCGCGCCTCGCGTGCCCTGCTGCCTCGCGCTGCCCTGCTTGCGCCTTCGCGCTGCCCTGCCCTGCGCGTCGTGCTGCCCTGCCTGCGGTGTCGCGCTGCCCTGCCCGCCCGCGTGTTGCGCTGCTCTGCCCGCCCGCGCGGCGCGCTGCCCTGCCCGCCTGCGTGTCGCGCTGCCCTGCCCGCCCGCGCGTTGCGCTGCCCTGCCCGCCCACGCGTCGCGCTGCCCTGCCTGCCAGCGCGTCGTGCTGCCCTGTCCGCTCGCATGTCGTGCTGCCCTGCCCACCAGCGCGCCCTGCTGCCCATGCGCTCTGCGTGCCTTGCTGCCCACGCGCCCTGCACGCCTTGATGCCCCGTGCACCCCGCACGCCCTGCTGCCCTACGCGCCCCGCTCGCCCTGCGACCACGCGCGCTCTGCCCTTGCTGCCTTGCGCGCACTACCGCTGCTGCTGCCGCTTGCAGCCGCCCTAGGTGTTGGTGCCAGTGGTTGCCGCCCTTTCTGCCACCTATGCACGCTGCTACAGTCGCTACCGCTTGTACTTTTGCCACTGCTGCCACTGCACCTGCCGTTTCAGCTACCGCCGCTGCAGTCGCTACTTCAGCCCTTGCGCCGTTACTGCTGACTGCCGCCGCCTGACGTGGCCACTATCACTGTCCTAGCGGTTGACGCAGACGGGTGCCCTTTCATGTTAGAGTTGTGGCTCGCCAACCTGCGCCGGTATCTCCGGCGTTTCGTTAGAGATTGCGTTTCCCTACTCGAGCACACGTCGGGGTCCTTCAGGCCCCACTGACTCCCACTGAGCCTGCTGCTGACGCTAGAGAGGACGTGCAGTGGCAGTACCGGGCGGACCGCCTTGCCTATACACAGTGGACGGAGCGCGATGCTGTCGCACAGCTTGCTGTCCGAGCTCATCTACTGGTCGACCAACGGGCCCACTTTCACAAGGTGACATTGGCCCATACTTTTTACGACACTATGGTAAGACACTACTCCTCCCTCTCTCCTGCCACCCGACCACTGCGACAGCACCGTCCGTTGTTAGGGGAGGTGCAGCATCTGGTCGAGGAGGCGAGTGTAGGCACCTGTACACATGGTGCAGCTGGTGGAGGCGCAGGTTTTGCAAGTGGTCAGTTGTGGCAGCAGTGTCAGCAGGAGACAATCCCTGGTGGTGTAGAGGCTGCCAGTCTAGGTGCCTGTGAGCCTGCTAGTACAAGTGCAGCTCCTGTAGAGGCTTTGCACACCTTCACGCTTAACTCCGGCGCAACTTGCTGCTTCTTCCGCAACTGCACCACGGTCACACCACTCACTACACCTCTCCCTGTCACTCTGGCTGACCCCTCTCAGGGCCCAGTCGCTGCACGTGCCTCCACCTTTCTCCCGTGTCCGGCAGCCCCTTCCGGCTCCCTCACAGGTTTCCACCTCCCTTGGTTTGCTAAGAACTTGGCGAGTACCGCTGTCCTCCAGGACCAGTTTGTCACTGTGACTACTCCTGAGGGTGAGCTTGTGGCGATCTGTACGGACTCACGGCCTGGCGCCCACCTCGCTACGTTCACTCGGAGACCCGGGTCTGGCCTGTACACACTGACCACTGAGTTTACACAGGTAGCTGCGTCTGGTCAGGTAGCTGCGTCTTGCTCGTGTCAGTTACTCACTCACCTGTCTCTCCTCTGGCACCACCATCTGGGTCACCCCTCCCTGCCGCGTCTGCATAGCATGCACTCCCGTCTCCTTGTCTGTGGCCTCCCCAGGTCCCTGCCCCCGCTCATGCGGTCGCTTGCACCACCGTGCCTTTTTTGCGTCGAGGGGCGGCAGCGCACCGCTCCTCACTCCTCGTTTCCTCCGACCACTGCTCCTCTACAGACTCTCCACATTGACGTGTGGGGCCCCGCCCGTGTCCGTGGACAGGACCACGAGCGCTAATTTATGCTGGTTGTTGACGACTACACGCGCTACACCACAGTCTTCCCCTTGCAGAGCAAGGCGGATGTCCACGGTGTTTTGATCCCCTGGATCCACACTTTTCGTCGCCAGCTGAGCGCACCGTTTCAGTAGGACCTTCAGGTCTCGCGACTGCACTCTGAAAGAGGCGGTGAGTTTTCCCCTCGCCTTCTTGAGGACTTTTGTCGTACGGAGGGCAATCAGTTTTACCACCCAGCCTCGCATCGTGTCCCGTCTTCTCAGAACGTCACCTTTGACGAGTCGGTTGGCTTCTACCATCTCCACCCCCACGCGACTTCTCCTGTCCCCCCGCCGCCCCTCTTCCTGGTTCCAGGGCCCCCCCGGGCAGACCCTCTCCCCCCACAGGGTCCTTCTCCCTTAGGTGTGTCTCAGGTTGATCCACCCCCCTTGGTTGAGCTTTTGGAGGTCTCCTCTGACACCCCTGGCCCAGCTGAGGGGGGTGACCCTATTGCTTATGACACCGCGGCCACTCGCCGCTCACCGCGCTTGGAGACCCCTCGTGTTTTTCCACCTCGGCCGTCTTCGCCGCCTCTGTAGCCTGTTGCTGTAGACTCTGGTGCTGCTGGAGGTGGTGACCCTAGGGGTGCGGACTCTGGGGGTGCTGGTTCTTGGGGTGGTGCAAGTCGTACTGGTGGTCGAGTCGTGGGTACTCATGCTGGAGACTCTGTGCGTGGACGTCAGCCGTATCCGAGTCGGCATGAGACTCTCTCGCCGCAGCAACTTTGCGAGTGGGCTGTCCAGTGGGGCAGCCCCGGTGGCGTAGCTTAGGGTGCTGGTGCTGGAGGTGCTGATGCTGGAGGTGCTGGTGCTGGAGGTGCTTGTGCTGGGGGTGCTGGTGTTGGAGGTGCTGGTGCTGGAGGTGCTGGTGATGGAGGTTTTGGTGCTGGAGGTGCTGGTTCTAGAGGTGGTGGTGCTGGAGGTGCTGGTTCTGGAGGTGCTGGTGCTGGAGGTGCTGTAGCTGGAGGTCTTGGAGGTGCTGGTGCTAAAGGTTGTGGTGCATGTCGCCAAGAGACTCTCTCACCGCAGTAGCTTCGCGAGTGGGCTGTCCGGTGGGGCAGCCTCGGTGGCGGAGCTGGAGCTGCTGGTGCTGGGGGTGCTGGTACTACTGCAGCTGGAGGTGCTGGTGTTGGAGGTTCTCTTGCTGGAGCTGGAGGTCCTACCGGACCCGTCACTGGAGGTTCT